CTGCAGAGGATTTCAAGGTCCATTTAGTGGTAACTGCACAGTTAAATATTTTTGGCTAAAATTCTTGGTACACTCGTTGGAAATTTTTATCAAGTGAAAGTTCCATTTAAATTGCAAGGAATTTAGTCATTGAAAATTTCCAATTTCATGAAAAAACCCATGCACGAAGAAAAAAGTAGGAGAAAAATTACCAAACATGTCATTTAATCGTGGAGCAGAATCCATTCCCGGATCTTTTTCACTAGATATCGGGGCAAAAAATGCGAGAAAATAGTGAATTTCTTTCCGCTAACTTCTACATTAAATAAATAATATATTAAATTTCTCAAATTCATATCAAGTTTTCCGAAGGAAAATTTTCAGGAATGTATTGTATTTTTTAAGAAATGATGATAACATACACTAAAGATATTACGATAATCCTATATTATATTATATTCTGTACTATACTATCTTATATAAACTATGTATAATATACAGTATACAATAGAGTACTGCATATATTATAAAATATAATATAGATATTTAAAAAAACATAATAAACAGATAACAATAATAATATACATTGAATATACCATATTGTGCAATATTACATGTACGATTAGGGGAGGGTAGGGCAAAACGGACCACTGACGGAAAATTGGTAATTTTGTTTTTTTTTCTATCCTTCAAATCAGGAACACTGAATGTATTGAATTAAAAGTGAGTTTCAGGATCATAACCGTCACAGGCGTTTTATAGACAAGAAGTCTCGTTGAACCACAATTTGATCAGATTTACTAATCATCTCAAACCACAAGTGATTTTGAATTTTTGTTTCTTTAAAAAAAAAAAATCATCAATTTTCTGTCAGTGGTCCGTTTTGTCCGCCTGGTCCGTTTCGCCCTACCCTCCCTTATATATGTATATAATGTATTATAATATAGTATAGTATAGAATATAATATAATATACTAATATCGTAATATCTTTAATGTATGTTATCATCATTCGTAAAAACTATGATGACGCAATACGCCGAATAGATCGGCTTCAAAAAACGTTAGCCTTGATTTTTTATTAAAAGATTACCGACTATTAATTTGGTCATATTGAACTGAATCATATGTCCACTTGTTGGAAATTTTTATCAATTGACAGTTCCCCTGAAATTTCAAGGAAATTTACAATTGAAAATTCACAATTTCGTGGAAATATCAGCGCGAGCTATAAGTTTCAATTTGAAATTAACTGAAAAATAAAATAAAATAAGCAAAATAGAACTACTGTACTCCTCCTGTGAATACTCGTTTATAGAATTGATTGAATAGCACCGATGAGTTCGGACTGAATGAGTCACTCCTTCAATTGAAATGAATGCTTTATGCAGCGCAAAATAAATATTCATTCAATTCAAATAGATTGCTTTTTTTAACTGAAATGAATATGGACTGGCGCCAACATATCTATTGAGGGCAAATTGAAGAATGTGTGAACAAAAGGCTAAATAATGTTCATTTTAATTCAACAGAAGAGTCAAAATTATTATCGCCTCAAATGCGAATGGTTAAAAGCCCCCATTATATCCATGGGCTCCATGCACAATGCATTTATCCGATCAAAATTATATTTATTTTATTGGAATACAAACAATTTATCCCGCTGTGGAGTCTTCTCCCCCCTTGAAAAATGGATTGTCATTATTCGAGTGAAACTGGCACGTGGATGATAATGTGATAAACCGAATGGGAGTGTTGAAAAATCGCTTTTTGTCATGGCTAATCGCATCAAAAGTGCGATTTATCCGTGCGTTTGGGGTGCGATAAGCGGCGCACGATGTCCTAGGGCGTTGGGCAATCTCACAGTGCAATAAGTTAGCATTACCAGCCGCACATTAAGGATATCCAAGTATCTCTTACAGTTTGGTACAGACCACACTGCACGGAAAGAAATATTCACTTGTAATACCACAAGAGCTTCAAAATTATCGGGTATTTTCCGATAGGATCGTTGCAAACAAACGAAGGAGTCAAGTTTTTCAGATTAAAAAATCACGAGTGCGAAGCATGACTGATTTTTCCTGACAAACTTGACGACTTCGTTTGTATGCAGGGAACCTTGAGGAAAATGCCCGATTAATTTTGAAGCTCGTGTGGTGTTCGGGGGATTATTTTTCCAATCCAAATGTCGGGCAATATAATTGGACCATGAGACGAAACTCACAATTGAGAAACGAAAATTGTATAATTAACACAACGACACAATTGAATTCAGTCTGTCAGTTTGACGAGGAGTTAATTCGACTGCATGATGTTTTGTTTTTTATACAGCAACTACCAGAGAAAATTATCAAAAAATTATCAGTTGAAAACCCTGTAGCTTGTACCACGTGATGTCGAATGGGCCAATTATATTGCCCGATATTTGGGTTGGAAAAATAATCAATAAAAATTACGTATCTTTTCCGTAATTCCGGAGTGAAATGTTGTTGTAGGAAATTTTACGGAATTGTCACGGAAATTTTCCACAGCGTTGCGTAATTTTTATCTGAATCTCCTGTGAAAAATTACGATACCGTCACTTAAATTCAATGATTAAGCCATTTTTAATCATCAAATTTGTCAACCAAATTGCGTCAGAAAAGTTTCAAAAAAATCATGAATATTCAACGTCATCCAATTTATATTTTGTCCAAAAATATTATTTTTTTGACCATTCGTTATTTATAAATAAATAATTGAAATTGTTTAAACCTTCGGGAGCTTTATTTTTTAAAGCATGATATAGATTTCTTGTAAAATTCTGAATATGAATAAATTTGTTACAATCCCGAACAACTGGTTTTATGGTGGAAAACTGAATGTTTACCAATTATTTATAAAACAAGCAAGGGTTCGAGCCTATTCGACAGAAGGCATGTGATCGTTACTTTTTGCGTCATTAGTCACTTTCTTTTTTTTTCTACCAATTCCATTGGTAGTAAACTTCCGAATAGATCCGTAGCAATTCCCTATCCTTGTGACAGGCATAGAGCCGTAACCACATGCTACCGGGTGTCTACAGGAAAATATTCAACCTTTTAATGAAAAAGATTTATACAAAAGGTTAAATATTTCCGAAACTGCTCGGCCGGTTGCGCCTATCCAAAATACCAGCCTTCAGTGTTGTAGGAGCTATAATCATACCAAATTTCAACTTGCTATCCCCATTTTTTCTCAAGTATCGTGCGTACAAGAATGAAAACATTTGAAAAACGAAAAACGGGATATCTCGGAAACTTTGTATGAACGGATATATATATTTTGATTGATCCAAATAGTGGCAGTCGAGATGAGTATTTTGAAAAAAAAATTAAATCCGTCAAGTAGTTCATGAGATATTTGACGAAATATATTTACACAAAAGGTTGCAAATCTCAGGAACCGCTCGGCCGATTGCGCCCATCCAAAACACCAACCTTTAGTATTATAAGAGCTAGAGCCATACCAAATTTTAACTTGCTATCTCCTTTTTTTCTCAAGTTATCGTGCGTACAAGATTTGTCATAAAAATCGGAAAAACGGCAAAATCTCCTAACTGCGTACTAAAGAGGGTATACATTCTGATTGACTTACACAGAGGCCATCGAGACGAGTATTTTGAAGAAAAAAATTTGAAATAGGTGCAGTAGTTTTTGAGATATTGAGGAAAAACGAAATTTAAACAAGTTGTCATATCTCAGGAACTACTGGACCGATCGGGCTGAAACAACGGGCCAAAGTTGAGCTCAATAATAGCTACAATGAGCCAAAATTTCAGATTTTTATCTACAAATTTCACCGTATTTACATTGAATTTTCTAAAAATTAATTACCAAAAGCCCAAGTTGTCGGATACATACCTACAGACATGACCCTAAAAACATCATTTCCTCACGTTTCATAATATTCTAGACCACTTGCAATCAAAATTAGAAAATCGAAAATCAGTCACAAACAAGGCTTCTATTCGGAAGCAAAAACATGCAAGTTCTCTATCGATCAAATCTGGAGCCGTTTTACCTTTTCACCACCAATGTCCCCAGTGTAAAACTTTCAAAGACCCCAAAGAAGTTCTCCATCAACGCCCAGGCTCACTCCTCCCTCAAACAATTTTTTCAACTAATTAATCAGTTCAGATAGCTGAGGAATTTTCCTCCACTCATTCACAGGTTCGATGAAAAAAAACGAGGAAACAACTCTCAAAAGGAGCAAAGGATATTGATCCAGAAATAAATGAAAAAAGCACTCATTTTTTTACGAATCGTCCGTATATTTGACCTTAACTATAATAATAATGATAATAAAGTCGTAATCATAATATATCGCGATGTGATAATCATTTTTTTTTACTTTTTCTTGTCTGACCACATGAATAAAAAATAATATTACATTTAATAAACTGATTGATATAATAATTATATAAAAAAAATCATCACTACCATCTTTGGGAGAATATATATAAAAGGCTGGAGGATTAGGGGAGAGGGAGGAGGGGGAGGGGGCATAAAGCTATTTTTTATCGGGGGAACAATTAAGAGAAAGCAAGAATTGGGCAAATTAGGAGGCAAAATTGATTATTATCGTAGAGGCAGTTATCAGCATTATAAAATGAAAAGTCGGGGAAAGGAAGGGAAGAAGAGAAAAATGGTATTTCATACAACAATGTAACGATAATTTGTTTTCTGTTAAATCCTTAATAACTCCCATATCATAGCCACTTTCTCACATTTTCTCACATTTTTTTGTCATTTTCAATCATTTTCCTTGTCACATTTTTTTTTCTACCATTTTCCGCAATTTTTTTTTTCCTCGTTATAAAACAGTCTTTCAATACCGACGCACCGAAACGAAAAGAGAAATAATACAAATTCTTTCTCAAGTGTCCGGACGTCCCTCTTTCGTTCATTGAAAATGATTTTTCATTCACTTTTTTATTCAAAAAATTTTGCTCATACTTCATCAGCTAAGTAGAAAATTTATCCTAAGTTGAAGTTTTTTTTTCTTTTTTTTTCAAGTTTATATTGTAGACGTGGGCCTGCGTTAATGTAATTAATTGCTGAAACGAGTATCCAATCGCAAATTATAATGCACGAGGAACTGTCCTCGGTTATACTGGAAGTGGAGAGAATACCCATGAGAACTACCCTCAAAACTACCTAAAACGTACAGTATCAGGTATCGAGAATACGAGGGAGATACTTCGATCGATTAACGGTGGACGGCCAACTTGGCTCTACTTGCACCGTAAGATACTTCAGTATGTACAAAGTTACACTATCGAAGATGAGTCGTTCTAATTCCCATTCATTAAAAATATTATTTTCCTCAGGTGAGAGGAAAAAATGTGAGAAATGTTGAAAAATATTCCGTAGACATTATTTTCCATGCGTCTGAATGAAAATAGAACCGACTTCTTGGAATTTATTTCCAGAATATAAATAAAAAATTATGAATGAAGAGAAATGTGCTTTCCGAAAACGCATAGTTAGTGCTTCTACGAAAAAAAAACAACTCTCATCATCAAATTTTGATGTTCCACTGGATCCTGAAGATTGTGAAACCCTTTCATTCGCTCAATTCTCATATTTTTTCTGTACAAAAATTGATGATTACGAGGGAATTATCAACTCCCCCCTTATGCCCGATCAGTGAAACAAAATCGCCTGAATATCAACCTCGGAAGTATTATTGCACGATAAATGTGTGTATTACATTGTCGATAATTGGATTTTCCTTCCCACTCACGAGTTGTTATTTTCATGGCTCATTGGATGGCGTTAATGTACGGATTTTATCATCAGACAATAAAAGCCCATTCCACGCATTTTCAACTTTCTTTTTTTTTCATCGTAAGAGGGACGGTCGAATGTGAAACAATGATTTTAAAAAATTGCCGCATTACGTGCAACTCGATAACCTACGGTAAAATGTCTACTTTTAATTTGTTATATTGTTCCTTCGTCTGTAAAAAATTCGAATCTCCCTTCAAATCACACATCAATCGTCGAATCGTCGCCTCATTTTTTTTTCATTTCCATCAAATATACGTCATAAAGTTTATTCCATCAGTTAAAATTGATATAAACGTGGCTTTTCGTGATGTAATTATCATCACTTTATGATTTCCAGTTGTTCATGAAATCATTAAATTCAGGGGGAGAAAGAAAAATAGAATAATTGTCTTCACTTTTTCACGAAAAATTTTTTTTCATCAAAAAAAGGTTTAAAATCGTCTTTAAAAAAAATCTTTTTTTTCTCGTCAAACCATTTCACTGATATTGTAGACAAAAAAACAATATTTCATGCTAAACTTTTATCATCAAACGAGTGAGTACATCGATTCGCCGACAGAAATAAAAAATACATGGTGTCGAATTTCACGCCTATCAAGTTGAAAAAACAATCACCCCATGAAAATCGCTGCTCCATTCATCCCGATACTGATCAAATATCGGAATATTTTATTTATAAAAGATTCATACGAATGAATTCCATAGACACGCATATGTAAAAAAACTGTTAACCCACTTTAATTAACCGACAATTGAGTTTTGAATGAAACACCTGTAACCAAGTAGAGTTTTTACACCTATTTATTTTATTTTTTCTCTCTTGTTGAACCAACTCCCCCAGCTTCATGAAAAAGTTTAATTGGAATGAGGGATACGTGAGAGTTGAAAGGGGCGAGATTCAGTCAGCAGAGATTATAAATTTAAAACGATCTCGAGGGGCTGTCGGGGGAACTGCATTGCGCATTTATGTGTGTCAACCTCGATCTCTCGGTCGATCGGTCACGCGGACACAGAAGAGTATTAATTTGAATAAAATTGGATTGGAGGAGACAAGTTCCAGGCACGAGTTTATCAATTTCGTCTGCGGAATTAATTACAAAGGACTAAAAATAGAAAAGATCAGAGAGTTCATGAATCAAAAATCATTCGTAACAAAGATGCCAAATTTACAAGCTATTGGAGTGGATTTTATTCAAGGAAAAGCTGGCATCTCCCAAAAAAAACATTGACAACATTAATCAACGCTGATTAACTTCGATGAGAAATTATGAAAATGGATTAATTTCGTGAAAGACAAAAATTTGACGTCAAGTTAATATACTTTGCATTAAATGTCATTATTATCCATAAAAAATAGAAAAAGGATAAGGACCATTCTCCCGTTTGTGAGGCAAACGAGAAAATACTCTCTCGGTCGATCGGTCACGTGAACACAGATGAGTATTAATTTGAATGAAATTGGATTGGAGGAGACAAATTCCAGGCACGAGTTTATCAATTTCGTCTGCGGAATTAATTACAAAGGACTAAAAATAGAAAAGATCAGAGAGTTAAAGAATCATAAATCATGCGTAACAAAGATGCCAAATTTACAAGCTATTGGAGTGGATTTTATTCAAGGAAAAGCTGGCATCTCCCAAAAAAAACATTGACAACATTAATCAACGCTGATTAACTTCGATGAGAAATTATGAAAATGGATTAAGTTGACGTCAAGTTTATATCCTTTGCATTAAATGTCACTTTTATCCTTCATAGAAAAACGAAAAAAGGATTAGAGAATTGGAGAATTTAAGACTATTCTCACGTTGTGGGGCAAACGAGAAAATACTCTCTCGGTCGATCGGTCACGTGAACACAGATGAGTATTAATTTCAATGAAATTGGATTGGAGGAGACAAATTCCAGGCACGAGTTTATCAATTTCGTCTGCGGAATTAATTACAAAGGACTAAAAATAGAAAAGATCAGAGAGTTAAAGAATCATAAATCATGCGTAACAAAGATGCCAAATTTACAAGCTATTGGAGTGGATTTTATTCAAGGAAAAGCTGGCATCTCCCAAAAAAAACATTGACAACATTAATCAACGCTGATTAACTTCGATGAGAAATTATGAAAACGGATTAATTTCGTGAAAGATAAAAATTTGACGTCAAGTTAATATCCTTTCCATTAAATGTCATTATTATCCATAGAAAATAGAAAAAGAATAAGAGAATTGAAGCAATTGTCATAGATTTTATTCAAGAAACACCTGAAATCTCCCCAAATAAACCAAATTCAATAATAAACTTCTCCAAAAAAATGGTAAAAATGAATTTAATTTACGAAGTACGAAAATTCGACACCAAGTACAAAAAAAAAAATTAACAATCCTGCCCATACCGCATGGATGATCTCAACGTGGGACAAACGAGAAAACACAGAAATCGTTTAACCAAAATATTGATACCAGTCAGTGGAACAGAACTGATTCTCCGACCTGATACACGTCCACACCTGTCATTCCTAAAGTCCTCGTAGTTCTCGTCCTTGCGTGTCGAATAATAATTGTAACTCCTCCCCTCGATAGCATTAAATTCCCTGCTGTTGGATTGTAAAACTCGATGACGACTTCTGTCCTGATGATAACGACGATCTCTCTGATTATGGTCTGATCCAGTGAAATTATTATCACTCGGATAATAATTATTGACACGATGCATACACTGTTGATAATCCAAATAACGTGTTTGTGGCAGTAAGGGATGAATACGTGGACATTGTGGTAGGTAACCAGATACACGGGGTAAATGGTGAGTTGGTAATTGTACGTTTAACGGTGGGGCCATATTTGGCCGCATTCGGGATCACCAGTTAGCCATGCCAGGTTTGTTCAGGGTCATGAAGTAGATTTGACAGGATGAACCACCCTTTGCTGATGAGAAAAATACCTGCACAGACAAATTCAAATGTATTTTTCAACGATGTTTCCTGATAAAATCACTGGCAATGACGAAGGGATGGCCACCGATCATAGTATTTGTCAATATTGAGAAATGTAAAACGTTTCATTTCTCAATGCAACGTTCGCATATCCTCTATTAACAAATGGGTGAAACATTTTTGGTCAGCAATCTATTTCGCCAATCATGTGCTAGACTGGAGGATGTTTGACCTATCAAGTGGACAACTTAATTGAAAAGAAAAATAAAATTGACTGAATAAATTATTCACGTTACCAATTATTTTTCTCATCCAATTAGAAGTGTTAAGATTATTACTAACGTGTGACTCAAATGTAAACCTGGCATATGAGACAATATCAAAATTATAGTGAATAATGTGGGTTTCGGCTAAACATCCTTAAGAAAATTTGGACTTTATCTTAGCTTATGAATAAAAAATACTTATTTATATAATATAAAAATAAATGATATGTATAAAATCACGATAATGTTATTAATAATAATAAAACTGATGTGCTATATATAATATATTATTATCTTATAAATTTCAAATGTAAATTACAACTGAGTTGTTCACTTGAAAGGTTAAACGTCCTTAACCGATACGCTACCGCATATCTCGGGAGAGCTACCACAGAACAGTAAAAAAACAACGAAAACAGAGTAGAATTATAAAATTTCAAGGTAGAGGGTAAGAAGAATTAAATTTTTGTCATTCTCACCTTATCATTACGTTCACAAAGGAACTTGAGCCGTTGAGCCTTCTTATGCATAAAGACACCATCAAGATGGCCACTCTCGACACTCCTTATTTCAATGGCCTTATTACCCCAGCCCATGATTTGTCCAGTACCAATGTACGCAACACTAGTGGGCATTTCACCCCACTGGAGTACCATTGTCTTAGACACTCTACCATACGTATTGACATAAACTCCTTCATTGTCGTAACAAAGAAGTAATTGCATACCGTTGCTGTTTGGCAGAGCAACGATACAGTGAGGGCAAATGGGTCCCTGAGTCTGTAACAATTGAATTGGAACGAAAATGTTTTTATTACGTCTGTTTTGGATTTTATCTTTGATTTTTAAACAAGAGTTTATTTACAAAATAATAAATAAATAAAATGGACACTTTTGACTTTTTTAAAAATATTAGTGACGGGTTGAAATGTTGATGAAATTTAATAATTTTTTTTTCAATACAAAGAGCAATTCTTTCAACTGAATCAATAATCACTCAATATGAAAAAGCCAATTTTGTTGACTTTACAAAATGAAAAATTTCTAACCGTGTGCTGCTCCCCTAATGGAAAATCCAAATTAAGACACGGCTTCATTATTTGTTTATCTAAATTATAAATTTTTTTGCTCGATATTGATGTGGAAATTTGAAAAATTTAAGGAATTTCAGGAATTGAAAATAGGAAAATCGCTCTTTCCTCCTTTTTTGCGCCCCCGACAAAATTGACAGATGATAGACAGGACAATTTTCAATTGGGGAGATTGCTGTAAGTGATTAAGAATTCATCGTAAAAGTGCGATAAAAAAATCCCTAAAAGTATTACAAAATTTTCCAAAGAGCGTCTTTTCGTACAATCATCTGGTTGCGCTGTTCCAAAGGATTTATTATTTCGACTTTCCTCCCCCATGGTGCCGACTGACAGGCCGCCATTTACCACGGCAATTATACATTATTTATATCTCCTTTATTGAACTTCTTCCTCAATATTAATTAAAATCACTCATTCAAAATGTTCAGAATTTTTTCTACTTGTTTTTCATTTCAAATTCGTAATTTTCAGGGGTCTCTGAGTGACGCGGCATCGAGTTGAAATTTCGAGATAAAAATCGACGAAAAAAGCAATCTTGCTCTCTTAAATTAGATAACAGAGTCGGGTCTCAAAAATTAACAAAGAAAATTCCTGAAAAAATATGCTATCTACTGTTTTCCCCAACATAAAGAGAGAAATGTAAACCTAAATCATCAAGACTCACGTGTTTGGGAAGATAAATGTCGTAAACAGTGGCAGAATCCAAGTCGACAGCGTGAAATCCATCGGCACTTCCATAAATGACTTTCAGTCGTGATCCCTCTTCAACAGTCAAGTCAACCAGTAACGGCCTGTGAGCCAGTTCACCAAACGACTTGAAGGCCATGAATTTGTGATAGGGTTTTGGTGCCCATGCGTATATCTCTATGGAGTCCTTCAGGGCAATAACCAGAAACTTTATTCTCTCGTATTTAACTATTTTGAAATGCACCGCTCCCTGAAGATCACCGACGTTTATCCAGCCATTGCGCCTCTCCACTTGCTGCTTAATTTTTCAACAAAAAGTAAAAAAAAACAATTAACTGCTGCTCATTCGGTATTCAATGAATTCATGGAGAGATTTTCAAATCTGTGTGATAGAACTATCGAGAGGAACTAATATTGACAGAACTAAACTGAATAAACCGTTTGTGTCTGTAAATAAATTAAACTGTGAAAATATTATTTTCATGAAAAATAAAATAACGTTTTCTCGTTGAATATGGAACTATAAATTCCTTTGTGAGTAAATGTGAAAACCTTGGAATATCCTTCATTCATTCGATTTTTAAACCCAGTTAAAATGAATATATCGGATATAGCATTTTCGATTGATAAATCTGACAAAATAAACAGAGAATAAACAAAACTTTCGTATGAAAATTTATATACTTTGCATTGAGTCTTCCAACTCGAGCCATGTTGTACATCGAATTGGCGGATGCATCTATATTCACAACAACTGCCACAAACATAAAATTGCGATGTTTCATGCCGAAACACGTTATACAAAAAAAAGGAGAACGCGTTAAAACGGAAATCCAAATTTTTCTAGATACGTTAGTCCAGAATATTTCATCCTCCCTTATAAAAGGTTTTTCCGGCTCCTGCGTTTTTTATATTGCAGAGATTGTGTATGCACGAAGAAATGATAGAATTAGAGAACGGGTTTTTACGTTCGATGAATGTGGAACGTCATCAGACGTTTGGATTGATCGGTTTTTAAATTGAAATAAACTGAAATGTTTATTTTCATTAAAAATAAGATGCATTCACAACAATGTATTGACAAATGTATTCACAACAACTGCCGCAAACATAAAATTTCGGTGTCTCATGCCGAAAAACGTCATAAAAACAACGTAAACGCATTAAAACAGAAATCCAAATTTTTACAGATCCATTAGTGCATGAAAATTCATCTACACTTTTGAAAGATGCTTCTTGCGTTTTTTATATTGCAGGGATTAGGTATGTACGAAGAAATGATAAAATTAGAGGACGAGTTTATACGATCGATGAATGTGGAACGTCATCAGAGGTCCACGTTAGGATTTATTTGTTTTAAAATTTAAATAAACTGAATTGTTTATTTTCATTAGAAATAAGATGTTTCCTCATTGAATATGAATGAATTATTATCTCAGAATTTGTCCCAGCGGCCCCTGAATGGAAAAATGAATGCTCTTGTGAGTAAATATGAGAAGCCTGGAATATCCTCCATCCATTCGGTATTCAAATCCAGTTATCACAAATTTGTCCGGCATATCATTTTCGTTTGATAAATCTGGACAATAAACAAAACTTTCATATGAAAATTTCATATTTCAGCATGAGGCATCAAAATTTCATATGCCTGCGTTTTTTGATTGCAGGGATTGAGTACGTACGAAAAAATGATGGAATTAGTGATTGAGTTTTTACACTGGAGGGATGTGCATCGTCATCAAACGCCGGAATTGATCGATTTCAGCATCCCATTCGCCCGTTCGATTTATAATCCCCAGACCCGATAATACCTCGTTATATCTTTTGAATACATAAATTCACTATTCAACCGCTTTTATGCGTATTTTCGGTGCATACGGTTCATTAATCTTCGAAATCATCCGTCATGCGTTGAACTTCATTTGTTGAAATACCTCCTTTCGTGCTTCATGCATTTTCCGAAATTTTGGTTTGATTTTGGTTGGATTTTAGAGGTAATAATTATTCATTCGATTCGAAATCAAATGAATTCCATTTAAAGATAAATTGTTCATTTGTTAAATAGATGGAAAATGTAATTTCATTATTCCCGAAGCTTCGGGATTTATTTCTTCAATAAGAAGTAGAGTAAAGCGATAATGGAACGTCGAAAATCTAATTTGCTCAGGAGCAGAGGCAGGCATAATCATCAATTACAATTGTCATTAATTTAATAAATAATCAAGTAATAGAATTTAACGATTTTCAATTATTAAATTAATCAACAATTAAATATTCAAGTAGTGGAGTGGTAGAACCGTAATTGACATATCCTTGATTATAAATTCATTCTCATTCAATATTTAATCACGAAATAAGAATCTTAATCAGATTAATTCCTTTCTACGATGATTATTATAACTAATAAATTGTATAATTGTTAAATGGATGGAAATTGTAACTTTAATACATCCAAATACTTGAGATTCATTCGGTTTTCGATAAGTCGTGGAGTGGTAGAACAGTAACGTCACAAAACTAATTTTCTCAGGACAAAGATTGAAATCAAAACGCCTGAAGAGATATTTCAGAAGCTTACGAAACATCTCACTCAAAATTTTATTCCATTATCTTTTCACGAAACCACTTACAATAGACTCTCGTTCCGACTGGCGACCAGTTAGATATCATACGGCAAATTGTTTACCGTATATCGAAAATTCTTTGAAATCACCGTGGAAATTCAGATGTTGAGTGGTAAATGAAAATCAATAGTGCTCATCCTCGAAATATAATACAACGAATCGTCTTTCGTTCTTTTATGGTACTTACGTCACTGTGGCCATCAGTGCGAAGAATTTTGCTCTTCAGCCACGACAAGTAGTACACTCTGACACGATTCTTTTTACCACTGATTGTAACGAGAATGTTTTGCCCCTCCAGTACCTCCATCTGCTGGAATCTCCTCCTGCTGATTAATTGATAGACTTTACCCTGGCCACTTCTGTCCAGCAGCATTAAACCATTCTCCGTGCCAATTAGGAGATTCACGCCTGAAAATTATAAAAAAGCAAAACAATTTTTTAAAACTCATCCTTCACTTTTTTTTCAAACAATACAAGTTATTGTGCTTCTTCTGTCTTCTTTGATTTAGAACTAAGTAGCATTGAACCAATATTTCCCTTCATTATTCAAACTTTCAACTTTAAGAATGAAGAGGTAATGACAATGAAAATGAGCATTTCCGTTTCGCAAATAAAATCTGTTCACATTTTTTGGAAATATATATTATTTACTGATGATTCCATTACCCCATAAAGCAGCGCAAAGTATTTCACTATTAAATCTCTTCTTATATTTCCTTATTTCCGGTGTATCCGATGCTAAATCATGACTCGTAGGTGTTACATTGACATTAACGTGTGATTCTCTTCTAGCTGGTCCAGCGCCAAATCCAAACGTTAGGAAGGATCTCTGTTTCTGTTGAAGTGCAAGAGGTGCAGGGGTTTTAACAGCTTGTCGATACTGCGAACAGAGGCGATTTTATAAGCAACTGAAATTCAAAAACTCGAAAAATCGAGCCATCAGTTGAGTGGAATAAGAACATTCATCCCACAATTTCCGTTCTTTTCAATTGATCGTTTTTTTAATTATTCAAAGATCCCCAGAATTTTTCTCATCTCATTTCACTCAACGACAAAATGATAAAAAATATGATTATTGTTAATTGGAAACACGATATTGGAGTTAGAAATCCGTAAGAATAGCCACAGACTCAAATTAATTATTGAAAAAACAAAGGATCTATCATTTTCTCAAGCATTACTTCAGTTGCACTAATATTCAATACTCATCCTCTACCAGTATTCAACCAATAAACAAAAGAATAGGAAATATTTATTGGTATTCATCGTATAATTGTCGAGAGAATGTGTTATGGTCATTTGCTTTCTCTCTTTCTGGAAAATGCAATGCCCCGGAATGTGAAAGCCAAACACAGAAGTAAAAAGGAAGAGAAGTAGAAGAATAGAGTGGAAATGCAGAAGCAAATTCCAATAACAATAACACCAGGTCTAATTATCGCAAAGCCACTGTACAATTATCATTTTTTTTCTTTCTCCCACTGCGATGAGAAGGGGAAATAAGGCCAAATAGTACGGATGAGAGAGACAGTGGTAATAGACCCAACGTAATCATTCGGGGGAAAAAAAAGTATAAATTAGGTGAACATTTTTGTTAATGGTTTTTCACTCGTCGCGGGTTTTCCTCTGTTATTTCCATTTTTTTTCGTTTCTTTTTTCACTGATGAGAATGAGGAGTTGATGGAACTCGAAGGATTTTTCACATTCGAATCGAGGTGACATAATTATATTTCGGAAACATGATTACGAATCATTCGTTTGATTATAGACTGATTACTATGGATTTGTCGTAATTGAAATCACAAATGATTAGGGGATGGTAGAACTAAATAGAGCGCGGAGAATTTACGAAAAGTCATGAGGGTCAGATAAGGGTTTGGAACATAGTCAGAAGGGTCAAACATCGTGCGGCAAATTCAGATTTTCCGAACTTTTCCTGTTCAATTTCAGATGATTTAATTGAAATTTACCAGCATTTTCTATTTTGACTTTGTAGCAAAATAAATTTCGTAAGTTCGTACGGGTCACAAGGGTCAAATAAAAAACAGGAATGTTGTAATGGCGAGATAAGCGTCGTAAACATAGTCGTAAAGGTCAAACATCGCGCAAAATATATACTGGCGATGTTTAAGAATTATTGAATCCGTTCAATTTCCAGGCAGCTCATGACCCTTCTGAGCTGTCTGCGACCTTTACGAATCTCATGTATTTTTTTAACTAATTTTTAATAACATGATGCTAAAAATTAAACCATAAATTCTGATTTTCCGTTACTTTGCTAATCGATTTCAGAGAATTTTATTGTTTATCAGGATTTCCTCTTTTGACTTTGACTTCACGGGTTCGTAAGGGTTATAAAGGTCAAATAAAGGTCATAAGAAGAGTCATAAGGGTCTAACATAGTGGGATAAAAATACTTATTGATGATGTTGCAGAGTTATTAAACCCTTATGCCACTTAGGAATTCTAAACCTTCTAAACCTTTTTATGACCTTCATATCTGTTGTATTTGTGTACCTCATGGGTGAAAAATAAAAAGAAGGTTTCGTGTCACTAATTTTCAAACATATGAACCTGGAAATCCGACAAGAAGTTCTGATTTGCGACAACTTTTGTATTAAATTTTCAATAATTGCACTAAAATTTACCAGTATTTCCTCTTTTGAATTTGTAGGTCATAAGAAGAGTCATGAGGGTCAAAGGAGGGCCTTCAGAACAATTATAAAGGACAAGAGTTTTTAAGAACTAGACAGTTCCCTCAAAATTGAAACTTTTTTCTCTCTGTGCAATAAAACTCAATTCAGATAATTGTCGTCTACAATGGGTTGAAATGCCAATTACAGGAAATATAACCATGTGATTTCAATGATTACAATGACTTCATTAATTACGTCCAAACTATCCCATCTTCCCTGCGGCAAATCTGATTACGAATGTGAATAATTCCTCAGGAAAATTGGTAGAACCACAACAGAATGGATTATTTGCGCGAATATTTCTGTAAATACACAAAATCCTCGACAATCCATCCTTTGTAATATTTTCACATTCATCAGCTCATCAAATTCCTCACCAGGTAGAGTTCACATGCAATTTTGAAAGTATAATAAATGAAAAACACAAATTCACTCGATAAATTGAACAAAAACAAACATTAATGATGGCAGATGATTAAAACAAAACATTCTCCCAAATTTTGTAAATAAAAGAAATAATAGAATGCCAATTAGGTGAAAAATTGAGAGTTAGAGCCCGAAAAATTTGTTATCATCAAGATTTGGAGTTAAAGGTTTCAGTACCGTTATTCCTCAAGTATTCACGAAACTTGTTTCATTATTTTTCATTTCAAGAGAGTAAAGACGGAAGCGACACTGATCTGATGTAGATGGATAAATACTTACATTGCAATTAGTATTGGGATTGGGGTGGTCAGTAGATAGGGCCCTGGCGTTCGAGTTAGAGCTCCCGCGTGTCCCACAACACACAACATAATCCTCAATTAGTCACGTTTTTATATTATTAAAAAAACCGTTCAACGAAATTAAGGGGACACATTTTTCAGATAAATTTTATGAGTGACGGGGCGAATTTATTCGGACGTGTATTTATAATATGTACATTTGTACATTTTCATTTCGTGAAAATCTGTCATTTAATTTTCAGTGAAGAAATATAATATCTGCTAATTATCGATGAACAGATGCGATATGGAGTTATTCTGAGGCGTTCATCAAGCATTCAGAAGAAATTTCCAATAAAGAATTGCGTTCAGTAGCAAAGCGGTAAACCTTTCAAGTCGACTTAGCTCTTCCCTGAGTTTTCGAGGAATATCTCCGAATCTGAGGGACATAATGAAATTTTCGTAATTACCTTTTTTGTAGAGCGAATTGAGGGCTTTAAAAAAGGTAATGACAAAAATTTTGCTATCTCCTTTAGATTTAGAGATATTCATTGAAAACTGGACAATCGTCAAGATTGACATGAACCGCTTAACCGCTCCGCTACTGAATTTTCAACAATCTCCAAAATTAATTTCCCCTCTAAACCGGAAGACAAACTAGTCTCTAATATTTTTCCATTGCAATATCTCAAATTTTTCCAATTTTCTCTGACTGCATCTGTTATTCTCTTTATGCAAGACTTTTTCTCAATTGAAAAGGTATGAAGGACAAACAGGACTCATTGTATCATATTTCTCCATTTCCTGGAGACATGGGAGATTTCCACTATTCAGAGACTTATGTATGTTGATGAAAAATAAAAAGCACAAATGGGGACAATATTGAAGAATCTGAAGGGGGAGACGAATGAAAGGCAGAAAGAAACGACAATGAAAACAGCTTCCACTCCTCGTATTTTTCCATAACTTTGTTTTTCAGTTTCTTTCTCCCTTTTTCATACATATAAAATGAGTGATAGTGATGCGTATGGCAAACACAATGAAAATTATGGTAGTTCGAATGTCCACTGAATGATAAACAAGAATATGAACAAAAAATGATAAATCAAATGAACGAAATAAATAAAGAGGAATAAAATTGAAAATAAAACGATTACGATTCAAAGCATTTGCTAGGCTAGGTATGTACTAAAGAAATAGTCTGGGGCTCGTATTTCCCATCCTTTTATGGGTTTAAAAAGGACGAGAAATAACGCTGGAGGAGCCTTGGATGGCCCTTATCAATCTCATCGTGATACACTTTTATTGCCCCCAGATACGAGTACACAGAACACATTACAGTAGTTTTATTTATTTTTTTTTACCTCTGCGAGTGAATTTTTTTAAATTGATAGAGACCCTCACTTAATTATTTTCAAACATGTACGGAAATAAAGCACAAGGACGGGACGTTTCTAGCTAATTTGTAGTCTATCTGATTCATTCTTTCAGGTGGTTTTTCATTTATTTTTCCCTCTGGGTTCGATTTTTTTTTTGTGGGAAGAGAGATTGCTCGTGATATCAATCTTTTTGGGCGTTTATTGGACTCTCTGAAGGACTCGATGCGTTTATTCCAGAAAAACGGACTGCTATATTTGCAATGATACGAAATGCAATATGGGGTATTGATCTGCGAGTGATCGATGGGAGTTTTCTACTGTTTTCGTTTTCTTCTTTAATCGGTTGTCCGGAGTTGGGATGCGAAAGGGACAGGGGTTTGTTTTTATTTCTGTTTGTTTTGGGGAAATTGGATTTGGGTGGTCTTGACGTGAAAGTTGAGAAAGGGGGGAAGAGGTGGGCAAGATTTACAATGTTATAATTTTGGGCTGAAATTTTCAATAGACTTTTTGGAAATTTATTTCAAGTGACAGTTGCACTGGAATTGCGAGGAAATTTTCTCTGTGGAAATTCATGATTCTGATGAAAAAACCAATAGAAACTGTGAACTTCAGTTCATTTGTTCTATGAAAATTAATAGAAGTCCGGAAAATTCGTAGAAATTTATTCTTGAATTCATAATTAATTCAAAATTTAGCGTTATTTGATAAATAGTAGGGTAAACCGGTCAATTTCTGAACGGGGGTTAGTTGCTGGACTATTTCAACTTGCATTGAATATTCCACAAATAAAATAAAAATTGTACCGATTATGCCACCTTTCAATAATATTACTCGCGTATAATCATGTGATTAATTATTTTTTCTATTGATCGACATTTAATAAATGAAAAAAATATGGCCCATTCGTCGAGAAATCAGGGGTTTCGGCTGCACTCAACTATTTCTTAATTTAATTATTGTTTATTTTGTTACTTTCCCTTCAAATATGTTTTTTTTTGCAAAATAAGACATTCTTGAAGGTATGGAAACCATCATATCCTCATTTAGGTGATTTTATTTTAGATTCTACCACGAAATTTTAAATTTCCCTTAACCATCCAACAATTGGCCTGTTCACCCTACTCATGTTTTGATTGAAAATTCAAGTACGTTGGGGAATATTCGTCCCGTTGGCGCTAAAAAATGTGGAATTCTATCGAATTTTCAGGGATATTTGAAATTTAACGATTTTTTCCCTCCTAAAACGCCCTCACTTTCTCTAAAAAGAATTTCTCATCAAAGTCCTCGCCTACGTGGCTTCAATGCACTTCAAAATAAGATGTCAAATTTTTCCAGATCCTTTTAAACCCGCAATGCAATGTCCCTCAGCAACTACTCCCAACTCTAAATAGATTTTCCCTACCCCCGATCCCTGAAATATCCATACCGAGTCCTTCCATAAAGTGATAACCACCAAAATTCAGAATGAAATTCCAATAACACGCTTTTCCACCATCCTATCTCCACCGTGAACCCAAACATCCGTTGAAAACTGTCCAGAGGAAGCGCCTCAAACTATTGAAATACTGTTGCAATTAATTCCCAAACTCTCGCCACTATTTCTCCCCGCCCTCGTCCCTCTGTCCACCGGACTGAATCGATTAAAAAAGGTACAAAAGTGAAATTATCATTTGGTTTCACGTTCGAGTGTGGATGATAAAGTGGTGGAAACATCCAGTAACAAGACAGGCAGTAAAATGAAAATCAAAATAGTGAAAAATAATAATAGAGATGCCTGACCTCCTCACTGGTTGACTTGTCCTGTCGTTGACCCGGCGATGAGGTCAAAAGGTCTGGTAGCACTGAGCTAGGTCGTGAGCCAGGGGACGAGTCTGACCTCTGGAAATCACTTCCTCCACTTCTTCCACGTTCACCATCGCGATTCTGAAAAAGTTCAATTGACGTGAAGAAAAAAAAAATATTACAATGTACCAGGTAAATTAAAACTCTTGGATGAAGTAGCTCCAGTCTGCGGTTAAAAATGACGGAAATTCATAAAACATTGAATGTACACGAGATACTGATGAAAAGGGAAATTGCCAATGACTTCAAATGTCATATTTACGAGACTTGTGGACAAGAAAAATGGGTGGAATGGAAGAGAATACCGGGATTGCGGTCGAGTTAACAAAGTTTTCATCTCTTAGTGAAAAGTTTTTGAATGTATATTCTACGAATATGTATTTTGTGGGTCAGATTGAAATGAATATTTCATGGATTTGTCTATTTTTTTCCCCTTCAAGTTTTGTGGATTGAGGCACTGAAGTAATCCTCCAAGTTTTCGTGGAGATGTAGCTAACATTGGAGTTTAAGGGGAGATATAATTAAGGGAGGAATGATAAGAAGAAAATTGAGAAGGGAAAATTTATATTTCAAACATTTTGGGGTTTATCACTGGAGAATTGAGGCGACAGTATCGAATTTTCGGGATTGTTCGGCTAATTTTATAGGGGAGAGTGGGGCAAAATGAAAGAGCCGAAAAGCGACTATTTGACGCAATTAAAAAAAAATTTCATCAACTTTTTTTATTGTTGGGAGTACTGAAGAGGATAATAATTTTCTATTCGGTAGAATATAGAAAAAATTCCAAGAGAATATTTATATAGAAAAATCGAAATCCATCGACTTTTTCCAACGAAATATCTCATAGAATCAGCGCAAGAAGCAAATGAATTTTAACGAAAACTCTCTAGAATTTTATTAGAATCCCAATAGAATTTCTAGAGCATTCCAATAGAATTTTCTAGTCAATTCGATAAGTTTTTCTGTTGAATTTTTTCATACGTGGAGACAGTATTAATAATTTTCACTAATTTTATCCACAATTAAATTTTCAAGTAAAATGAAATATTTCATCTATAATTCAATTGATTAGATTACAGCGATTACACTTTCCTTTTTTCATTCGATTGAAATTCAGCATCACATTTTCCTTTTTCCTCCTCTGAGTCTACTGAATGGAAACTTATTATTCTTATCAGTACTCCCAATAATAAAAAAAAGTTAAAAAACAAAAGTTGATAAAATTTTCGTTTTATGAATTAGAAAAAATCAATATTGTCACCCTGGAATTATCACTATGAAAATCAAAGCTGAAAACATAAACAATGAAATAACAAAGCAACACGTGACGATGAGCAGGCAGAAATGCTTGATATTACACAAAAGAATGTCATGACAGAGATAAAAAATATTGAAAAAATAAAAAAATGGAGCAGCAGGGGTGAATCGTAGCTATATAATATGCGATGCAATCTTTGAAGTGTCACAAAGTGACGCTGGTGCTACGTGACGTATTAAAAAAAATGGGAGAATAAAAAATTCAATACATTTGAACAGCACAGACCTCTCCATTCAATACGATGTAAAATTTTGTTTTTCAACGTTTTCTCTTTCCCTTTTTTTTGCTACGTTTCTTCCACACCTGTACGTCATGCAAATTGATGCGCGTGCAGCTCTACATGCAGAAGCCGCACGTAACGTTTTGTTTAAAAAAAAAAGTTTTCAACTTTTTTTTTTGAGTGTTGAATCGATTGAAATGTAGAGATGTATTGAATATTCCTTTGAATATGTCAATTAACACGAGGTGAAATAGTGGCGATTGTTCATTAAAATTGTAGAAAGCGAATTTTATGTGATTTTATTAAATCTTTATCACAGTGAAATTTCTAAATAACATTTTTTTATTAATTGTTTAGACAAAAATTGAAAAAATTGGATGTTTTATCTCACGCAATCTGAAGTGTGGATCAAACATTCGGAGATCCTTTCTGTTCCCATAAATAACGAAACATAAATGGTTTGAATTATCGAGATAAAACTGTCTTGAGATAGAACGCAACGTTTTGTTAAAAAAAAAGATTTTCAATTGTTTTTTCATGTGTCGAATTGTTAAAAATGTAGATGGAAACGGTTTTGAACATTTCAATTAATACGAGGTGAAATACCAGGGAATGCTCATTAAAATAATTAAAAATAGATTTTACCTATTGTTGAATCGTCTAGACAAAGATTTTAAAAAATTGATATTTTATCTCATGCAATTAAGTGGGGATCAAACATTCAGAATCCCTTTCTGCTCCCATAATTTTAGTAAAATCAAATCAATTCCATTAATAATGAAACATAAATGGTTTGAATTATCCAGATAAAATTGTCTTGAGATAGACCGTAACGTTTCGTTCAAAAAAAGATTTCCAATTTTTTTCGTGTATCTAATCGTTTAAAATATAGATGTATTGGAAACTCTCTTCAACATTTCAATTAAAACGAAGTGAAATACCAGGGAATATTCATCAAAACGATTAAAAATAGCTTTTACCTATATTTTATTGAGTCGTTCTCACCATTAAATCGTCTAGACAAACATTTTTTTAAATGTACATTTTACCTCGTGCGATCAAACATTTGGAATTCCATTCTGTTTCCACAATTTCCATAAAAGCAAATCAACATCATTGCCAATAAATCACGAATTGTTTGAATCATTGTCATACAATCGTCGAAACGAAGAATTTAGAATCACTATCCACCCAAATTTTCAATAACAATCTCCGCATTTTCCCCATGAATTATCTCCATCAGAGAAACAAAAACGAAACGTGCACTCTTGCATCAAAAAATTCACATGCCACACGGAACACAGAGACAATAACAGCACAGAATGGGAGAACATTTCTTTCTCCCAGAGAAAACGTTCAAAAAGACTGGGAAAAAAAAATCAATGAAAATGGCACACATTTGTAGATACGATGAAGCAGGTCATGCAATGATCCCGATCCTCGTATTCTCTCACATTTAATATTTCTATTCTATTATGTGTTCTCTCATTTCGTTGAATTTTATAAAGCGCCTTCAATCAAGTGAGAAATTTCCTTTTATCACAAAAGGATTCCTAATTCTTTTCCATTCCATTGCAATCCTTATTACTATTCTCTCTATCACTTTCTCACGCCATTCCTCTTGACAAAAAACTCCATAATCGTCCTCTTTGTTCCTTCTCCTCAATCCAATATCGTTTCACGTTTTTATTGCGATAAAAGGATTTATTACTTTTTTTTTAATTCAATGTCTTTTTATTCATTTCCCTCGAGACGATTTTTCATGCACGCTTCAGCAGACAACGTGAGAATTTATCCGAGATTTTTTTTTGTTAGACACAATACACACACAGAATGATTGTTAATCAATGTCAGTTCAATGCTTTTCGGCTTATGATTCTCTAGCGGCATTTCCTTTTTAATGCTTAGTCATTCGCTTACGGAGTGATAAAGGGCAAGCGAATCTAGATGATTTCTCGTCACAATTGCAAAATCAGCTTTTGTTTTATTTTACAGTTTTTCGTACTCGTAGGAGAATTTTTTTCAGGTTCGTACTATCGTCAATGGTCAGTTAGTAGAGTTGGTTTATGGACAAATTCAGCAGGAAAGCAAAATTTTTTTTGTGAAAAGTACACATCTCTCGTACACAGCGCAACAGTTCTGGGAGCGTTTTTGCAGGGGGGGCTTTCGTGAATGTTTTATGAATTAACAGTTGGTGATTTTTTTGTGATTGTGGAGATTGGAGGGAAAATTCAGGGATTCACAGAGTATTTGAACGATTGGGAATGCTTTAGCGGGGGAATAATAATGATTGCTGGTGTAAATAATAATAAAAAGTGAGGGGGGAGGGGGTGAATAGAGATGTGAACAATCAGGCTTGATCATTTGAATTGTTATTTTTGAAATTCGATGGTTATTGGCATTGTTTACAAAACTTTGGTGTTAGTTTCTGAAAATAGTTATTGAATACTAATGGATAGAAAGCGATGTAGTTGCATTCTTTAAAAATTTAATTGGGGTAATTCAAATTTGGCAGAAAAAATGGAAATCTTTTCAAGTTTATTTTAACATTATGACGATGAATATTCCGGATAGAATCGATTTTATGAATAATATTATCACCGGCATGCAGAAAATGTTCTGCCGTAAGTCTAAATCTTGGATTGGTTAATTTAAATCTTGAATAAAGATTTTCATGAATCATTGAACATTGTCATTAGTAATGCAATGCCGATAGCAGATCTGACAGTGTATTGAATATTCAATACTACATAGAATATGATCCTCTCGAAATGTGGAAAATAGAGTCCAAGCGGGGTTCTTAAATTGTTCAAAAAAGTAGAAAAATGTGTTCAGGAGATTGACTTTCATCGACTTTGAATGATTGTCATAAATGTGAAATTCAGTGATCAATTTTAAAAATATTGAAAGATTTAATTATCCATCAGTAATACTCTAAAAATGGTAATAAAATCCATTTGTATCATTTAATTAACTCGACAGTATCGTATTTTATTACTCCATTATGATGATTTAGTTGTTAAAATGAACATTTAAGGCAGATTAACTTTGTCTGCAAATACTGTATTTCTATCCGTCGAAATTTAAATGGAATAATCCAACCGGATACCTCATGTGCTCCAAAATTGTAGAGAATTTTTCTCAAGTTTTCCTACATACGGTAAACAGATCAATTTCTGGACGATTTCAACTTGCATTGAATATTCCTTAATTAAAATAAAAACTGTACTGATTATTTCATCTTTCAATAATATTACTCATGTGTAATCATGTGATCAATTATTGTTTTTATTGATCGACATTTAATAAATGAAATAAAATATGGCCCAGTCGTCCAGAAACTAGGGGTTTCGGCTGCATTCAACGATTTCTGAACCCTAGTCTCGTCACCAAACGCGAGCCTGTGACTCTGGTCACCTCCGCGGGGATTCCCCGTGTTATCTAGACTCTAGCGTTGCCGAATCCACTCTACACTGCCCGGACGCGTTTAGCGAGTTCCCGGCAACGTCGCGTCATGAGCGATTTCACATAACATGGGAAAAAATAATTCAACTGTTCGAAATAATTTGTTTTCTTTACGAATTTCGGGAAATATATTATTCTAAAAACTACTATAATTCTTTAGACAAGTCAAATTTTTTTGAATTTTTTCAGTTAACTAGTCAATTGTAATTTAAAAAAAAAGATGCGTGACGGGATTTCCCTCATATGGTGACCAATCTAGTGTTAATTATTCTTTGTTTTGTTATTTTCATTTCAAATAATTTTTTTCTGCTAATTAAAACATTCTTGATGGTGTGAACGCCATTATATCCCCATTTAGGTGATTCTTTTATTCCAGATCCTATCACAAAACTCGAATGTCCCTTAACCGTCCAGCAATTGGCCTGTTCACCCTATCAACGACTTCACTTCACTTTCTTTCGTTGCTATGCAACACCAGTATCGAAAAATTTTCCGTCAATTTTTGAGCACTCAGGCTATTACAGCCGATAATTCAATAACAGTATCACATCGACAATCCAATGTCACTGAATATTCAATTCTGAATTAAAGGTGAAATATGAAAAGTTTACGACATTTCCATATTTCTTTGACAATTACCATATTTCTCTGAATCCATTTTTGAGACACATTTTTCAGATGCATTATTAACACAGCGGCTGAGGAATGCAGCGGGGTTCATAAAATGTTCATGAAGATCGAGAAATACATTACGAATTTTAGTTTCATCTACTTCGAATGAGATTCTATTATCGGATTTGAAAATCTAAAAGGGCTTCTAGATGAATTATCCATCAGTAATGGCCTAAAAATTCTAATAAAATTAATTTTCATCATAAAACTAACTCAACAATTGTAGATTTTTTCACTCCTACATGACTCATTCGTTTGAATGAACAGCTAAACCATTTCAGTAGCAAAGTGGTAAAACGGTTTAAGTCGACTTATCTCCCAGTTGAGTTTTTGACGAATATTTTCGAATTTAAAGGAGACAGCGAAATTTTCGTAATTACATTTAGTGTAGCTCTCAATCAGCTCTACAAAAAGGGTTATAAGGAAAATTTTATCATCTCCCGTAGATTTCGAGATATTCATTGAAAATTGGCCAATAGTCAAAATTGACTTGAACCGTTTTACCATTTCGCTACTGATTTTATTAAACTTCTAAAGAATCTAAATTTCATCATTTCAACTGTAATCTATTTCTAATTAAAATTCATTTGAAACGAAAAATTATTGAAAATATTCCCTCGATTGAATTCTCAAAGGAAACCCCCTAAGTGCAGTTAAGAAATTAGAACTGAAGAATATTATAAGAATAAACCTAGAACAAGGGGTTGGGAGGGAGCAAGGAGCTCTGACAAATGAAGAAACAGGCAGTCTTTATTACGTTATTCTTTATCTATTCTCTCATCTCTCAAGACTGACCTGAGTTATAACTGGACTGTATTCACTAGCTGTTGTACTAGCTGTTGACTTAATAGTTCCATCATCCGAGGTTGTATCCAATGGTTTAAAACTTCTCCTCCTGTTATCATCATTCCTGAGTAATCTAGCATCGCGTTCCCTCAAATATTCCTGCTGTCTATTACCAAATACAATTTCACTCTCTGTTTTTTCCCTCCTCGGTCTCTGTGGTGCATCGCGACCAAATGAAAAATCAGTGAGTACAGGCTCACCAGTTGACAGTCCACTGCCCTTTTTACCACTTACACCGGCAACTGATATCTCACTACCACGCCTGTTACCACTGGCAAATATCGATGATCTTGGCTCAGATTTTTGTAAGTAAGCTGAGTGCCTCGTTGAGGGAAAAAAATCCGAATTTTCACGCCTGAATGCACGTGCAAATGCACTCGAATTGCCCAATTTCGAGTCTGACTCTTGTCTACGATGTATCGATTTCAATTGAACTGATGGTTGACCACCTGATGATTTCTGAGCCACTCTCTGGCCACTTTGTTGGCCAATTTGCTCAGTTTTTCTTCTCGACGACAGATCGTATCTCTTCAGCGTTTTCTCAGTTGATTTTGAACTCTCGTCCTTTCCACTGGTCACCTCCTGTTTCATTTTATCCAACCTTTCGTTAAACCCTTGGAAGAACCGTGTAAAATCCCACTCCTTGAGCAACAATTGCTCGTCAATCTCGGAGCGACGGTTCGGGCTTGGTTTTTCATCATTTTTACTAAGTTTCTACGTTTATGGTTTTGATTGTTGCATTACGTTTTTTTAGGTTTTATATGAGTTTTTTTTTTTTTGAGTTTGCGAGTGTATTACGATGGTATCGAATGGTCGGGAAATGAAACAGTGATAAAACAAAGAAAAAAAAACGATACGTGGAATTTTATAATGCGATGTGGTGACTATGTATGAGAGATTTTTATTTTTTGTACTGGGTGGGGGGGGGGGGGGCAATTACGAATGGTCGAGTGCATATATCGACGGGGGATGATTTGTAAGGGATGGTATTAATTCAGTAACTAGAGTTGCAATTTAGCGAGGAGTTTTGGTATCTTTGTCATCTTTACAAGTTCAAATTTATAGTTGGAAAGCGACGGATCAATTACTAGATTTTGTAAAATAATTGACAACTATTTAATACATGAGATTGAGTCTACATGAAAGTTTTGAAAGTCTTTTGACAGAATGGTGAAGTAACTAGACCTCCTCAAGAAAGGTGGAATGATAATTCTGCCATCATTCCTAATTATTGAAACCTTTGCTATAATTCTTTCAATTTGAGACAAATGAATAGAGAAATATAAGGTAAATGTACCTATGCTCGTTCAGACGTCGTGAGCTATCACATTTTAGTCATTCTGACAGTCCCAAGAATTTATCAAGAGTGAAATACGATTGGGTTCATTATTTTAGTTAATAAGGAAAGTTATAGAGACCAAGGAACAGTGATTTATCGAAGAATACAAGAGAAAATTCCCATTCACATCAACTGGTGCTGCGACAGAGTGAATTCTTAAGCCGCAAGTTAGGAAACTCAACTTGTCCGTTTCGTTTTCAAGATCGAATACGTCCGAATTTTGTTGAACCGTGTTATGGAAGTTAAAATTGTATTGTTCTTTTCCATTCATTAAGAATGATTTCAAGCGAAGAAAAAAAACAACAGGAATTGAAATTTCCTTTTTTGACGAAGATTTATTAATAATAGGAACTGACTCCGCCCTTTTCGCATAAATAATTTATTAATATTCAATTACGCAGACTAAAAACCATTTTCTCAAAATCAATAAAAATTTCTCCACTTATTCATAAGAAAAAGATCGTTTATAAAAACAGTCATTTGGCACACAATTCAATTTAAATGACGCTGATAGTCCATTAATCTGGGGTAAATCTCCATCTTCAAAGTTTTTTCATAACCTCGTGCATGGAGAGCAAATTCAATAATTAATTTCAAACTAAAAATAGCGATTGAACTTTTCCACATCTTTTAAATGATTTCTTTTAGTCATTAATAATCCTTATGCAGAGAATTCAGTTTGCTACAACAAATTTAATAGTTGAAAATCCTGATTCATAGTGCGATTCATACGCAACTGTAAAAAATCCTTAGAAATCCTCAAGACTTTTCACATTGAGGAAAAAACTAATGGGCATGAAAATAATTGTAATCCGATTTCTTAGCATTGAAGATGTTCCGTGGCCTCTTGAAGGAATAACCAAGAAGGAGTATCTCTATAATTGATGATAATCCTGTTACTTTCTCCCATCATTATCAACTCTCAAAACCTTCAAAAACTCAATTCACTTGAGAGCCAAAAAATCAGAATATATAGGAACTAATTACCGAGTCGAATTTCCACTCTATTGAACATTTCAAGATATCTTTCTCCACAAATAAAAGGACAATTCGATTATCACTGAGGTCAACAACTGAATTTAGTAATTTCATGGTGTGTCTGGTGCACGATACAGCAAAGTGCCAACATTTAAGGGCCGAGCAGATGTCATGACAGCAGGCGACAAATTGGGAATTTATATTTCCAAAGCATTTTCTTGCCTTCAAAAGATACTTACTTCAGATCAATCCGTAATCAAATACAATGAGCAAATACTCCTACTCTTCTATGTAATGACTGTTTCTTCAAATACGCAATCAATATTTTCTGAATAATAACGATTCACGGTAGAATATTTGCCTTATCCATTTAATCACAGAATTTTGATCTCATGCGGTTCTTGACAACGATACAATCACCTCGACAATTCGCAATTTCCACATAAATTTGAGAATCGAGACAATTTTCAAAAGTCAGACCTTTAATTTACGAAGAGAAAAATTGTCTCAATTATCTACGAGATACACTAGAGGAGCATTTCCTAGCGTATTCTAACGATAATCTGGATGATTACAAAAATCAGCCATTCGACGTACACAATATTGGGTATACACGGCATAAGTGCAATACAATGCAGATTATATGTATGACCAGATATTGACAATGTGGAAGGTACTACATTTTTATCGCTCTCTTGCACTAACTTTGTTACATTTACTTTATGAGTTATTGAAGGTAAATTTGTACTTACTCGTTTCATGACTAGTGTTCGATCGCCTGATTCCTCTTCGTCTGGAGTTGGAGGTAATGGTCGATTTGGTGCACCGCCTGGAAGAGATAATAATATTATAATTGAGAGGGCAAAAGAGGAATCTAATCTGCTATGGATGATAATGCACCGATTGTGAGAGAAAATAACCGAACATCGAACCGATAGCAATTCTGTACTTAGAAAACCAAAATGTAAAAACCAATATTGTTAATTTTAATGTTTCAATGAATATTGACAAACTTCAATTATTTATGTAATTTTCATTCCAGAACCTGATGGCTAAATAAGCATTCAGATATTAACATTCTGAATATTCCTTTCTTCACTTTACCTCAAATTGAGAGAATTATATCAAAAGTTTCAATAATTAAGAATTATAGCAGAATTATCATTCAACTTTCCGTGAAAAAGTCTAGTTACTTCATCATTCGGAAGATTTGTAAGGGATAGTATGTATTCAGTAACTAGAGTTGAAATTAACGAGGCATTTTGGGCTTCTTTGGTGTCTTGAGAAGTTCAAATTTATAGTTGAGACACAACGGATCAATGAATAGATTCCATAAAATAATTGACGGCTGTTCAATACATGAGACTGACATGAAATGAAAGTTTTCGAAGTCTTTTGATAGAATGATGAAGTAATTAGACCTCCTCACGGAAGTTTGAATAATAATTCTGCCATCATTCCTAATTACTGAAATCTTTGATGTAATGCCTTCAATTTGAGGCAAAATGAAGAGAGGAGTATACAGAATGTTAATATCTGAAAGCTTATTTAGCCGTCAGGGTTTGAAAGTAATCATCACTTCAGTAATATTTTCAGATAAAATTATATGAATAATTGAAGTTTGTCAATATTCATTGAAAACATTCTCTTATCAACTTTTGTTTATCAATTTTTTTTAATTCTTGAGAGTACTAATGAGAATAATAATTTTCCATTCGGGAGAATGGAAAATTATTGAGAAGTTTTGGCGGGACAAAATTGTATCAATGGATTAATTGAAAAGGAAATGAAACAACAAAATCCAAAGTCCAGACGAAGGCCCAGCAGGGAGACCTGGTCCTGAGGGGGAAAAAGGAAAATGTGTTGCTGAATTTCAATCGAATGGAAAAAGAAACGTATAATCGGCCTAATCTAATCAACTGAATTGTAAGACGAACAGAAAATTATTATTCTCATCAGTACTTCCAATAATAAACAAAAGTTAATGAAAAAAAAATTTTTTTTTGCTTGAACGGCATCAAATAATCATTTTTCGACTGTTTCATTTTGTCCCACCCTCCCCTACAATTCAATAAAATCAGTTTTCAACCACTAGGAAAAATCCCCCCAAAAGTTCATTGAACTGTGTGAACTGGCAATTGTCTCTCGTCAAACAAAAGTTTTCGAACATAAAAATGAAAAGTTGGGCTTACCTTCATGGTGATTTTGTGCATTGTGAGATGACGAAGAAGACGAATCTGAAGACGGTCTGAAAGGAGAAAATTCAGGTCTGGATGGTATCCCAGTAGTAAACAGTGATGAGGATGACAAACGATGAATTGATGGTCGTTTCCATTTGGGTCAGTCGATGAGACAATGGCAGAGATGCAGGAGTGATTAAAAATGAAAGATGACAATGGATGAATTCATTGATTTTAACCGAGAATGAATGGCTCTACAAACTATCACGACAACTTACAGTGGCTTTGGTGGATCACTGGCAAGTAATGTTCCATCATTTCTCGCATTGTTTCCAGTTGCATCCTCAAAATCATCATCACTGTCGCTCTCCACTGACAGTGCCTGAAAAAAAATATAAAAAATTAATTTACCCTCAAAAGAAATACATCGGAAAATTCAAATAATTCTATTTCCACATTTCGTTCTTCTTATCTGTCAGTTCTAAATCCAAAATAATGTAAAACTCCGGAAGAAAGTGAAGCCAAAGTAGAGAAAAAAAACTAAACAAAGTCCCCAAAGAGAACCAAAACTGAAGGGGTGCTGGTGAAGAGTTAAACGAAACCCTCGAGAACTCAAATAATCGATAAAATAAACAATGCTCCCCGTTGTTAGTCTCTCTTTTATTCATCGTCTTACTTGATCGAGAATACTGGAGGATTGTGGCATCTGTTTGTTGTTCTGTTCATTACTGGCTGGTTGGGCCGAGTGGCTAGTGGTGACATTTGATGTTTGTACCGGGGCCGGGCTCTTGTGTTGCCTGTTGGGCCTTGGCGGGGCTTCAGGGCCCTGTGACACACCAAGCTCGTTGAGTTGAGCAGCCAGCATGTCCAAGTCCTACCACCCAACGCGCCACACACGTACAAAATACCCCGTTAGTCACTTTGTGCCATTTTTTTTTACAATCCTTCTCCAATTAATGGATTAATTAATTTTAAACCAACCACGAGTGAGCTAATCAATGATTGAGTGAAATTGAATGATTTTGTATGTATTTTCTAGGACATCAGAAGATGATTTTATAATATTTTAAAGGATTACTGACAGTTTTTTTTTGCTTTGGAATGTTCGAAAAAATTTATAAGTTGCAAAACTGTTTTTTCATCAGAAGCCATAATATCGCTTCAAATCAATGGCACTCAGTTTATCGGATATCAAAAGATGGATTTATAGTGGTTTTGAAGGATTACTGACATAGTGTTTTTTGCGTTGAAATGTTCGAAAAAATTTAAAAATTGCAAAAACTGTTTTTCCACCAGAAGCCATTATATCGCTTCAAACCAATGGCACTTCGATTATAGGACATCAAAGATGGATTTGTAATATTTTGATGGATTACCGACATAGTATTTTTTGCTTTGAACTGTTCGAAAACATTTACAAATTGCAAAAACTGTTTTTGAATCAGAAGCCCTTACAGTGCTGTAAATGAATGGGACCCAGATTATACGACATTAAAAGATGGATTTATAATATTTTAAAGGATTACTGACATTATTTTTTTTTTCCGGTGAACTGTTCGAAAGAAAAATCTGTTATAAATCGCAAAAAATTTTTTTCATCAGAAGCCATCAATGACACCCTGATTCTAGGACATCAAAAGATCTGTTTTTTCATCAGAAGTATTATATCGCGCCATCCATCAATATTCTTGATAAATGTTGTACTGCAATTGAGAAAAAGATTTATTTTTTCATTAAGCCACAATATTTCACGACAAATGTGTATTTTTCCACGACAACTCAATTGAAAACTTCCCCCAGAATTATTTGAACGAAGAAAAAACAATTTTTTGCAACAAGTAAATCCATTTTGTAATGAAAATTCTTCACACAAAGCTTATTCAAAAGTTTTTTTTTTTCCTTCAGTGTAATTCACGACTGAACTCATGAATTGTTCTGAATAATCATCATCAATATTCTTGAAATGACAAATTTTGTACTGCAATTGAGAAAAACAATTGTTTTTTCATTAAGCCACAATATTTCGAGACAAATGTTTATTTTTCCACGACAACTCAATTGAAAAATTCCCCAGAATTGTTTGAACCAAGAAAAAAACTTCTACTCCATCCCCCAAAGTCGTGAATTACTAGAGTTTTTCAGAGCATCAATTGCCAAGACTCTGCAAACCATTTCCTCCAAGAAGACCAAGAATATCCCTATTTCACTCAATTACTGAATTAAGCTCTGAAAGCAATAAAAGCTGACGAAGCTCCTAAACATATTCTATGAATTTACAATAGCGTCGACATATTATCATCGACCCAACGTTTTAATTCGCCTGTGACGTTTTATCTTAACGCTCTAATAAGTCTACAGCCTCCAAGTTCCATCCAAATGTCACTGGAGATTATTGATAATCAATTAGATGGCTATATAGCAACGAGTAAGAAGCCGACTCCTCATTATCTAATAGAGTAAAGCGTTAAAGCGATAGATTACCCATATATACAGTATCTTTAGCATCATGTTAACAGTGTTAAAGCTACGTGGATTACCCTGCCCCCATTAACGTACATGCACGAAAGTTTAGCCTTTTTATTGGGTCACAGAATTTGGTAAATAAATCATTGATTAAATTATTCAAGTGAGGGAAAAATGATGGTGGGTGTTTGTGTGTTTCTCTTACCTCTGGCCTCCTCGGTGGCAGCTACAGTACGTGTGAACATGGAAAAAGAAAAACAAAAACCAAATACATTCCGGAAATTTTGAAAACGTGAGGTAGTGTAGAAATGTTTAATATTCCTTCTATTCGATCGTAAGAAAATTCTAGTTATTTTATTTTTGTTTTAATTGTATCCCTTAAAAGCAATCAGAAAATTATTTTTAAAAAATATTTTTAAATCGTTGAAAAGTCAGTATTGATCACTTAAAAACATTAAATTAATTGGATCTTTTTAAAATATTTTTCAATGGTTAAAAACTTTCAATTATGATGGAGAAATATCTTGTAGGTGATATTTAGAAAATGGAGGAAGTTCATAATTATAAATTCCCTGAGGAATAACACTAGAATTTCCTTTCGTATCAATTTCTGGTGCAATTTGCCATTATTTGCCTAGTTTAATGCGTGCATAACGCCAAGAGAATAGATATTTTCTGAATCGTGCATTTTCGCAGTGTAGCTGTAACATCTAGTGTAAAAACTGTATTCAAAGAGATCAAATTTTAAAATTGACAGCATCTCATGAAAACTTGTAATTTCATTCAGCAAAATTTTTTATCTCGTTTGTGTGTATTTTAATTATATCTCTTGAAATCATTGAATTAATGACGGAGAGACATTAATTCATTATTTTTCAAAAAAGGTTTTCAAATAAAATTACCAATTATAATGAATAGAGACACTGTAGTTGAAATTGTGTAGAGAGAACATCTTCTACCTTTCTTTGACATAAGAAAAAAATAGAGGAAGTTTATAATTACGAATCCCCTGAGAGATAACACTAGAATTTCCTTTCGTATCAATTTCTAGTATAATTAGCCATTATTTGCGTAGTTTAATGCGTGCATAACGCCAAGAGAATGAATATTTTTTGAATCGTGCATTTTGCAGTGTAGCTGTAACATCTAGTGTAAAAACTGCATTCAAAGAGATCAAACTTTAAAACCAAAAGCATCTCATGAAAACTTGTAATTTCACTGAGCAGAAAATTTGATCTCGTTAAATATCGTAATGTGTACAGTGAAAAGAAGTGAGAGATGTTGGAAGGATGAAGGAGTTGAGATAACAAGTGAATCCACTCAATAAACGGTATACAGCAAGTTCTGCAGTTATTTCAGCACAATAGAGTTGAAGGGGTGAAGGGAGAAAAACTATGAAGGACTCTACACGTGCTTTGACGCGTTAACAGCGATTATTGGCCTTGATGACTTGTTCATACACAATTGACGTAATGAGAACTTCTCAGTGATGAAAAAAAAATTGACAAAAAAGAGTGGGAGCGTACCATAGGTTTGAATACATGACTATTTCTTTGTGGCGCTTGTCCACCTGAGCCACCACTTCCAACACCACTGGAGTTCGCTGCTGAGTGGTGATTTGAGGGTGGAGTTGAGACTTTGTGCGGTTGTCGTGGATCATCTCGAGGCGTTGGGGGCAGTGGACGTGACGGTGGCTGTGGTTCTGTCGTTAATATTGAAGAATTAGTTATTGTGATTGCGAAATCATTATTATTTAGTTGGGATCAAGGGAAAAAGTAGAGAAATGATGCATCTATCACAAATTAATGAACGTTGATATATTCTTTCTCCAATTTTACTGTTCATCCTGACTGAATATTGATGACCATGGAGATCAAAGCAAAATTGAAAGGCTATTATTATTTCATATAAAATCTCGTTATTTGACAGTCATTCTGTGAATGATGTTAATGTATTGTAAATGATGAAACAGGTGAAATTCCGAACAAATTCACTAATTTCCTCGTTGGAATGCTCACTAACATTTTTAGTTAAAAATGAGAGCTTATAGTCAACTCTAAATTTAGGCCTAATTTTGCTTCTCCATGAATCTTCTTTTATGAATAATTGATAAACAATCAATTTCTCAATTTAAAAATCATTATCGGAATTGCAAAAAATTAGTTTGTGTTCTCAATCTCACAAGAGATAGATTTCATGCTAAAGAAATGAAGTTTCCGAAAGTTTAAACAATCTTCATGGAAAATACCAAAAGAAAAATTTCGTTAAGCAATATTTCCCAAAAGATGTCTGTCCATATTTCGGGACTAGTTTTTAGAACTGTTCATTCATTAAAAAGCAAAAATTGGATGAAAAAAATTAAGTTTTTTTTGTTTCCATAAATAATAAAATGAATAAATTATAGGGAATTCAAAAGACTCGAAGAAACCAAAATACTTGTTTAATATATTTTTCCAAATTATACTTCGTAATTTCCTTGACTAAATAAATTTCACTCAGCAATCAAATTGAAGAAGAATAAAGGTAAAAATATATTCATAAAACAAAAATCAATGTGAAAATTCGAGAAAAAAAAATTCTTTACCAATGAGCCTGTGAGGAATAGCAGGTCTCGATGGTGGACCTGGCTCTGGTATTTCACGGTGGCCCCTACCACCCTGTTTTTCTTTACCCGAGTGTGGAACCTGAGGAATATCCTGTGTCAATGTCCTTCCCTCTTGTATCTGCTGGAAATTGCGACGCAGTGTGTCCCCACCAGGTGCTTGAACGATTGACGAGGGCTCACCAGCCAGGGCTGGTTCGTCATCTTCATTCTCACTTCCACTGTATCTGTAGTCGTCTCGCTCTGTTGAAACAAAAAGACATGCATAATGATTCTTCGGGAAGGGAGGGAGGACGTAAGGAAGTGACAATGATATCTGATGTTGAATGAGGTAACACATTTAACAGCAATTTTTTTTTATCGTCGAAATTACATAACTTGGTTGATGTTGCATTTGAAATCATCGCAAAACCGCTATTTTTTTAACATCTAAACTGTGAATAACGACTGCATCATCACTAAATACTGCATTTCACCATTCGATTATTGAAATTTCTCATAAAAATTATGAATTTTCTAAAAGTGCAATAAATAGCTCTCTAAACTCTCCCCAAACTGAAATTATACGAGAGAAATTACGCTATTTTTGCCAAGGCTGCGGCTGATTTTAAAGTTTAAATGTCACGAATAATAATAAACGGTTAAAAATAAATGATGAATAAAAATGATACGATTTTATCTTACCCTTACCTTTCTCCTGTTTACGTTTCTTGCACCGATCGATATGGTCTTTGAGCTGTATCCTAACTTGACGCTCGGTTGGTTGGTCCCGGATGAATGGATGCTTCAGTAATTGTTCCGTATAAGGCCGCTGATGATAGTCCTTCACCAGGACCGTCTCAATGAATCCCTGAAATTTTTTCGCCCACTTCTTCGACTTCAGCCTTGGCGGTGTATTACGTGGAATTAGGAAAAGTGCCTGTTGATGACATAATCAATAATTAATTGAAATGAATATTAATTGAATCATCGTTTCATTATCAAATAAATGATAACAAAAATAAATTCATCAAGTTTGAAGTTTAAATACAAATCCCATGAAAAATAACAGTAGAATTTATTTTTGTATCAGTTTCTGATCTGATTAGCCATCATTTATCTTTTTAATTGCGTGTATACTGCCAAGAGAATAGGTATTTTTTGAATCGTACATTTTTGCAGTGTACTTATAGCATCTAATGTAAAAAATGGATTCAAAGAGCTAAAACTTCAAAATCGAAAGCACCTCATGAAAAATTTTCATTTCATTGAATCGAAACATCGATTTCGTTAAATATCGTAACGTCTATATTCATCAATTAATGAATAAATAATTAAAATATAATAATAACCATTTTTCAAAAAAAAAATTCGAACTGAAAAAATCGCAAGTTGAAAATTACTAGAAACAAATCAAGAAGTTATCAATAAATTCGTCTCACCAATAATCTCACGCATTTTAATATCCTCAAACTTTCTAATTACTCATTAACATTCTCAATAAAATTCTTAGCCAATTAATCAACTCAGATTAGGAAAACTACTCCATGAATTGGAAAAAAAAACTCAAATCATGAAGTCGTCATTATTTTTCTCTATTTTCACGTTGGAATGAGGTCGAATGGTTTGAAACTTGCTTGAGAATGACTCCACTTACTCTCATGGGATGTAGATCACAGAGGGGAGGCTGTGACTCTGCCATTTCGAGTGCAGTAATACCAAGTGACCAAAGATCACTTCTGTTGTCATACGTGGCATCTGGATTTTCATCGCAAGCTATGACTTCAGGTGCCATCCAGTATGGGGTGCCAATAAACGTATTTCTACGTCCAATTGTGCGGTCCAATTGTGCAGAGACGCCGAAATCAACTGTTCATGACAAATGAAACATTGGACGTTGAATTGAATTACTTTTGATTTCTAAGCTTTTTAGTGCTCATATTTTTTTATGAGCATCTTCATTTATTTTATTTTATTTTGCTATAAACGGCGAGAAATGTTAAGTAAAAATTACGGAACTCACAACTCCCTCACCGATTACGAAATCGACTCAGAAAATTTAAGTGACGGTATCGTAATTTTTCACAGGAGATTCAGATAAAAATTACGGAACTCACAACTCCCTCACCGATTACGAAATCGACTCAGAAAATTTAAGTGACGGTATCGTAATTTTTCACAGGAGATTCAGATAAAAATTACGGAACTCACAACTCCCTCACCGATTACGAAATCGACTCAGAAAATTTAAGTGACGGTATCGTAATTTTTCACAGGAGATTCAGATAAAAATTACGGAACTCACAACTCCCTCACCGATTACGAAATCGACTCAGAAAATTTAAGTGACGGTATCGTAATTTTTCACAGGAGATTCAGATAAAAATTACGGAACGCTCTGGAAAAATTCCGTGACAGTTCCGTAAAATTTGCTCCAACCACATTTCGCTCCGGAATTACGGAAAAGGTACGTAATTTTTATTGAATATTTCTCTCCGTGTATATTATTCAGTATGGCGGCTATCAACGCGCACTTGTGCGGTATATTTCGGGCAAATATATCACTTATAGTATTATTTTTCTTTATAATATTATATATTGGCAACAACCGGGGGTTTTTCCCTTTTAAAAATTGTTTTCGCGTTGTGTGGGGCACTTTGTGCTTTCCATAATGCTTTGTACTATTCTGTACTGTTTTGCAGGCTTCGATGGGCGTTTGCCTGAAGCCTTAAATAAATGGTTAAATATCTCATCATCCTATTGGCAAATTTTCTTGTACAAATGCAATGCAATAAATTTTCATTATTTTAGGTTTTTCCACTACTGGCGGGCAAAACGAAATTTTACGCACGCCCCGCGTGCGTAAAATCCCTCTTTCCACACATTGTGATGAAGAAAGGGTTCGAAACTCGTGGTATAAGTATTTTTTGACCCTCGCTGTCAAAAAACACTTTTTCATCATTTATGTGGAAAATGAAACTTTATTTTACTTTAATTTTTTGCCCCCTTTTCACACACCTTGATGAAATTTAGGGTTCGACACTCGAGTGCGTAAAAGTATTTTTTGACCGATGGGAGGTGTGCAACGCCATCGGTGCGTAAAAACACTTTTACGCACTCGTATCGAAATATACTATTTTCGCACAGCGTGATGAAACAATAACATTCTATCAACTCCGGCGATCATTATGGAAGCGTGTGCAAAGAGCCCAATGGGCTATATACGGATGAATAAATAAATAAATAAATTAAATCCTGACAACTATCAATTTTTTCAACAGTTTCTGCCACTCGAAAGATTATTCTAGCGTCATCAATGGTGAAATATTGACAGAATTAGACAGAACCTGAATGATCAAAGAGAAAAGAAGAGTGACACGTAGGTGAATCACTCATACACAAGTGACTAGAATCTAGTCACTGGATGACGAGACAAAAATCACCCACCATGTCGAATGAAGGAACAAAACATCATTTGTCACGATGACGATTGAAAAATGAATTGAAGAATCTCGTGATTATCGATTTTCAGTACTCCCGATGGAAGGGGCCGATGAAAAAGTGGAAGTTTCATCGCGTAATTTATTGTAATAATTGTGTCAATAACTACGATATTAGGCTGATGAAGTCGAACTTGTACTAGTTGAAGCTGTCTTATTCATTTTTTCCTCCATCGATATATTTTTAATGTATTCAATCATCAATGGTCCGATCATTTATCACGAGTTGTGCTTTGAATGAAATCGTGGAAATAACTAAAATCCTCTTCGGAAACCATGAATTCGTGCTATTTTCCCTGGATGAATGCATTCAAGGACTTTTTAAAAATTAGTGAGTGAAATTCATCGCATCGTTTCTTAACTCCTTATTTTTCTCAAACGAAAAAAAAAATTCCGGCGTCAGTAATGAACATGTTAATTACAAATGTGATGATGTAACCAAAGTTGAAGTGATGTAATCAAAGGATACTTTACCAAGTTTAACTTCAGCATTGTCAGTCAAGAGTACATTTTGACCCTTGATATCCCTGTGAATAACTTTATTACTGTGAAGGTAACTGAGTCCTCTCAGTATCTCTCTCGAGATATAAGCGATCCACTCCTCCTTCAGGCTCTGTCCCTTCGTTGATTTAACGAGATCCGTGACAGAGCCAGCACCACAATACTCCATGACCAACCACAGTTGGTCATCTTTACCTGGCGGTGATTTCTTGACAAATGCCCCATAATATGTTGCAATATTCCTGTGGTTTGAGTACTGGAAAAAAAAATTCAAAAATTATTTTGAAATAAAAGTTCATTCGTTTTTCATTTTTTTTCAGTCTTATTGTTAGTTCTACTTGGAGTTTCTTTTAAGAAGTATTCGTCTCATCTATTTCATGTTGAACAAATTATTGGAATCAACAAGGAATTTTTTATTCAAATTGAATGAAAATCAATCGTTTTTCGAATTAATATAAATCATCGTTTGGATTTTTGCATTCAAATTCAATGAAAATCAACCGTTTTTCGAATGAATATAAGTCATCTTTTGGATTAAAAAAAAAATCGTTGTCTAAAGTGAAGTTATCCAAACATCACTGAGACATCTATAAATTTCCAACGACAAATCTACACTGACAATTAATTAAAATTGTAAATAAATTCACATAACACTCACCCTTTTAAGAACATTTATTTCTAGCTTAATCTCCTCCTCTTCGTCCTAGTGGAACGAGAAAAAACAACAATTTTATTAATTCAGGTTTAATGGAACGTGAATAATGGGTATATTGTGTGAGTCATTTTGAGGAATGTTTTTTTTTCTTTCTCCCGCCTCATTATAAAACGGATAGAAAACCCGAGGGAGAGAAAACCGATGGATCCACGAGGCGTTGTGTATCAGCTGTTAAGTAGGTAAGTAGAATCAAGATTATCTCGGGCGTTTTAGATTAGAGAAAGAAGGAAGTTCACAAGTTTTAATCCGTTATATCAAATGCTGTAAATGCGTAATCCTCGTATGTATTTCATTGGGGAAAATTAATATTGATAACACTTCCGTTACACCCAGAATGAATTTTATGTGAATGAAGTAAATGTCTTGATGCAAATGGCTCCTAATAAAGTTTTCTTTTTCAATTGATTTATTGATTTATTCAGTTTTTTATTTCATTCGAAATGGGGAATTGATTCTAATAAGGTTCTAGGATACCTGTTCCCCGGAAAATCATTCCTCAAAATAATGTGTTTAACTTATTCTATGTTTGATGTCATTGTGATTTGTGAACAAATTATGTTTGAGAAGTGGACGTTGTTTAATTAAATTTTGACCTGCATTCAAAGATTCTTGTAATTGCTGTTTTAATGTCTGTAACTTTAGAGTTTCATGTTTATCAATATTTGTTAATTTTTTTTTGTTGCAAGAAATATATGAGTTTTTAAAAAATTGTTGAAATGAATAAAAACAACATGTCTTTTCTCCAGATGTATGCTCCGCATATCCAATTAGAAGAAAAAAATATGCATAATCTCTTCATTCATTTGGAGTAGTGATTGTAAGCTTTCAAAACGACATTTACATAAAAAAATAAATTTTGTTCATGATCAACAAAGATTATTATCATTTTTTGGGCATGAACACTCGGAATTACTCATAAATTCCTCTTAAAAAACGGAGAAGAAAACATTAAAGAACGTAAAAAATCGTCCAGTAATTACGAGCCTCCGAAGGAGATATTCGGTAATCTGTAACGGACGGAGTCAGTCACGGTATTCCGAGAAGTTTACCCCCTCCCCCCTGCATTTCCCCGTCGGGGTATGAGTAATCTATCAGATAACCACCAACTACAATGCAGGGAATTGTCTCCATTTCATTGACGCAATACCCTCGTTTTCTTGTGCCGAGGAATAAAGTGATGAATAAAATTGAGTAAAAAAACCTAGTAATTATCGAGCGAAATTCCGCTCTAGGTCTTTATAACTTTAAAGTATATCCCTAAAAAACAGGTTTCTCTTACGATTGTCCCCATGTTTTTCGTAGATAATGTTTATAATATTCCCCAGCTGTTGAAAAAAAAATCAAACTAGCTGTACTTCACAATTTAGTAGATTACGATGTTCTTAAGAAACAAATCCGTGGAAGATGGATTATATTCCAAATATGCTGAATTTTTTATAAAATTTTATAGTATATAGTTTCTGTCATATTCAACTCTAAAAAATGGAAATTTTGTGAAATCATTTCTCATTTAATTCAAACAATTAATTAACACATAATTTCTTATTTGATTCAAACAGTTATTCTTACCTTCATCAACAATATATGGGGATAGAAAAACTCAATAACTTATGAGAATGTAATAAATTAAGTAATTTATAATTTTTTCCGAAAATCCATAGGGATTAACTTTTGGATGGTATTGTCTTGGGATATGGATATACCTTAAGCTGTCAGAAAATTACGGTAGCACGTCTTTTCAACTAGGCAACTTTTCAACTACGACATATCAACAGATTTTAATTAAATTATTACATTTTCAGTAATTAGTCAAAAATTGTCAATATTTTTTTTACCTTTTTGTAGACAACGTAATCCAACTCAATTTAACAACTCAACTGATGCATCAACAATCAATGCGACATAAAGACGATATTTGCCTTCAATTAACAAATCAATAATTTAATAGCAATTTAATATTGATAATCTAATTAGGATTTTTAAATTTAGTTGTCCGTTAACTCAATTTTTTTTACTGTATTCCGATTATTATTTCGACGCGCATTTCAGTAAATAATGCAAAACAAGAAAAACAATGATTGCTCCAATTTAATAACTTAATACGCATATCAATGAAATTGACGTTTGAAGAAATGTCGGGATAAATTTTCTAAGAATATCATTTGTTTGTGGTATATTGACTCAAGTTTTAGTACTTGAAATGTCGTGGTTGAAATGTTATTAGTTGAAATATTGTTACTTGGAAAGTTGAAAAGACATGAGCTCAGAATTACTATTTTAATTTCAATTCAACATCTTAAAATTTGAAACCACTAATTTACATGAAATTTCCGTGTAATTTCAGGAATACTCATTGGAATTCCAATTATCAAATCCCTAAGAAAATGAAAATAATGAGAATTCAGGCATTATTCCCAGCGAAAAAGATTAATTTGTCAATTTTTCAATATTTTGTTAGCAAAGATTCTTTCAAAGATTCGAGTGCAAATAGTAATATGAATAATTCAATAAATTGAATAAAAAATTGAAATGAGCAAATATTATCGCTCTCGTTCCTCCAGTTATCGGCTCGTTCTACTTTACAACGAAATTCCTCTCGTATCACAAGGAGAACAAGAATAAAAAACCCATGAAATCCTTGCTCTAGCTTCAACAAACAGGGTCGACATAATAAACCCATTGCCCGAAAAAAAACGTGATAAAAAACGGTGAAAGGGTTCATCGACAGCTGTACTATCGAATTCAAGACAAGATGCTTACCTCCGTGACGTCCATAACTTTAATGGCTGCCAGCTGGCCGGTCTTGGTGTGTCGGCCCTATAAACAAAAAGTTAAAAGATCATTCAGTGTTGCCAGGAAAAAATATATCAATCGTTGAATCTTTTACGGGAATTTTTATGGTTTCCAACGCGCGGAGAGAATTTCCAGGCAATCGTTTACGTAATGTGCATGATCATGATACTATTTAGACATTTTTTGTAGCATTTACAGAATAAACAATTCAGTAGTGAAGCGGTGAAACGGTTTAAGGATATGCAAGTACTTTGGCTATTTTTTCTCCAGTGAAATGATTTTCTACTTTTGTAGTTGGACATCAGAGCTTTTACACTGATAGAAAAAATTGTTTTTATTGAGATGTTTCTTTCGTGGAACAAGTATTATATCTTACGATGAATATCACTTATTTTTTCTTGAGATACATTTACTTGGATTAAATGAAATAGTCCTTGGCGTCAAGTCACATATATTCACCACAAAATGTAAAAGTTCTATTTTCAATTATAATTTACTTGGAACAACGTATGATCGTGTTGATTGAGATAACAACGTATTTAGTCATGAGAATAATTTTGATTTTTGAGTACACCAACGAATTCCTGGAGTTGGCAAACTTTTGGCTAGAAAGGAATCAAATACTCTCATTATTGCGACAAATAAAACGAACTTCAATTCTAGAGTCGTTCGATTTCTCCCAATCAAATGTATCGCAAGAGGAGATAACTCGTATTCACTATGAAACCATGTTTATTTGAAAATTAACAACCGAATGATAGTTTCAAACAAAATTCTCTTGATAAAATCAATTTTTTCTGTCAGTATATTTGACCCTAAGTTTCCGGACATTTTACAATGAGTTTATTATTTAAACCATAAAAATCATTTGTTCGGAATCGTAACGAATTTATTCATATTCAGAATTTTACCAGACATCGATTTAATGCCTAAAAAATCAAGGTTTCCGAAAGTTTAATCAATTTCAATTATTGACTGACAAACAACAAATGTGGACGTCCGCATGAAAAGGGACCACTTTGGCACTATTGGAGTTATATATATGCCCATAATCTTGATCTGATTCTGCAAATTTAAAGCCAAAAATGAACTTAATAGCGTAAAGAGTGCCGACGCTATAGACGATCGAAAAAATAATTTAACATGGGTTTAAATGGGAGTTGGCAAGAGAAAAACGTGAATATCTCGGAAAATAGAATCGACAAAGTGGTCCCTTTTCATGCGGACGTCCACAAATGTAAAAGATGCTTGGGTATCCTCAAGTCGACTCAGCTCTCAGCTACGTTTTTGAAGAATATCCCGGAATCTAAGGAAGATGGCCAAATTTTCGTAATTACCTTTTTCTCAGGTCTCAATCCCCTCTACCAAAAAGGTTATACAAAAAATTTTGCTATCTGCTTTAGATTCCGAGATATTTACTGATAACTGACCAACTGTTACAATCGACATAAACTGTTTTACCGCTTCGCAACTGATTTATGGGATTCAATTTTTTTCGTTACTTTCAAAGCAAAAAGAAAGAGGATTTCTACGTAGTTTCCTCCTCCGTTTTTCATTATCGAAGCTGATAAAATACATGTCGTCTCTTATCGTAGAGAAAAATGTGCACATTGTCGAACGGAAATTGAGTTTAAATGTGAAATAAAAATAGAAAGTCGTTTCCACCAATAGTAACAGACTTTTAGATTATCTTTTTGTCAATCTCCTGAGAAAATGGTACGATTTCAATGAATGAGCCCGCATTGTGAAGCCTGAAAAAACCTTCAGAGTGAAAAAAAATTTGGCTAATGTTACTCTACCGATCTCGAGTCATTGACGTTCAGCGACAGGCCATTTTACCTTCCTTTGGATTTTTTTACACAAAGTTATCAGGCATTTCGCTTGTTGTCACAATTTAATCGTGAATGAAAGGTGATACTCCGCGGCTGGTATTACCCTCCCTGCGCTTCTTCACCTTTTACTTGACTCCTTTTATTAATTTTGAGAGCGCAGGTATGCTTATGTATGCAAGAAGTTTCGAGATAAGTAAATAAAACGTGGGAAAATAATGAACAGACGATTCATTGATTCCAAAATATTAACAGCTGGACGAATGTTTACACATCGCAAAGATGATCAACATGATTATTGAAAAAATAAATATTCCTCGTGGGTTATCTACGGTATCTCCATTATGAGGAAAAGATCTCGAAGGAATCCAATTCATTCAATATTTCGTCGCAATTCCAAAAATGCATTCAAAACTCAGGGATATTATTGTAGGAACAGAAATATTTCTTGTGAATTACGACAATAACGGGGGAAAATAATGAAAAGACAATTCACTTATTCCAAGATATTAACCGTCGCACAAATGTTTACACACTTAAAAATTTTCGTCTGAATTTTTCGTGTCGAATTCCGAAATTTTTATCGTTTTCAAGTTCCACTGAAATTTTGAGAAATTTTGTGATTGAAAAATTAAATATTCCATTGATTTTCTGCTCAAATGATCCGGAAATCAATAAAATACTTGATTTTTCAGTTCAATTATTTTGTAAAAATTCAGAAAAATCAGGACAGTTCAAGGAAAAATTGAAATTTCATAGCCATTTTTTCCATAAATCCGATTCCATGTCACTCTTATGAAATTTACTACGAGATCTTCCATGAAATTTAAAAAATTTCTGACAGTGCACACCACAGAGATGATCAACATAATTATTTTTAAAATAAATATTTTTCGTCCGCAATCTACGACATTCCCATTACAATAGAAATTAATGTACAAATTCATCAGAAAAATTTAATTCATTCACGTTTCGCTTCAATTCTAACAAAGAATTGAAAGCTCAGGGACAATATTCTAGGAACAGAAATATTTCTTGTGCATTATCCGACAATGACTCTTCCTTCATCAAAATGAATTAACGGGATTTCCCTGCGATGTTACAAGATAGTAAAAAACTTATTTTTCTGAACAATAATAAAGCGCAAGAATTCAATGGATGTGGAAAATTCAGTTCCATTTCGTTGCATCTTATCAAAAAATTTTTTTCCTCTCACTGTAGTCTTCATTCTTCAAGATTAACTAACGGAATTTCCCTCAACATCACAAAATAGTAAAAAAACTCTTGTCTTTTGAACAATTTCCGTCCATTTCGTTGCATCTTCTGTGAAAAGCAATACCTTGAGTTTTCAAGAAATTTAATTGGAAATTTTCAACAGCGAATTAACTCATTTCCAAGTAGATAATACTGGGAAATGGATGGATATGACCCCACTCCATATGTGCATATGTAATGTCTCCAAGTTGAATGCATCTAAATGACGCGTCATAATAAACGAGAAAATCCGAGTGGATGTGCGCAAGCGCTGAGAAAAGTCGCGTGTGTCCCAACAACGGGTATGTAAACTGTTGGTCGTTACTCGGGATGTTTGAAACACACCACGAAACCGCACACTCAGTGTCATCGGCCTCCGCTTTACTTCACCCACTGCAATATACACACGTGCTCAACTCTTTCTTCCTTCCATTTTTTTTATTTTTCATTTTTAATTCTCTTTCATCCCCCCCAGGGACTGATAAACTTCACGTTAATGCAGCTTCAAAGGTTTTTGCATGAACACTTTAAAGTTTTAACTACGATTTTTTTTAATCCAAAAATCTTTTCAATCAGTGAAAATTAAATCTTTCATCATCAGAGCCTCTGTTCATATTTATTACTGACTAAATACTTTAGAAGTTGATTAATTAATTGTAATGAAGTAATTTACATAATTAAAAAATTATAATTTGAACAATTTTCAAAATATTTAAGAAAAATGATCTTTTTATTACATGAAATTGTCAGAAAACTGTAGTTTACCATTTAAGAAATATTTTTAACATTTTTTAACATTGAACAACTCCAAAAAAGCCTAAATGTGGCACTTTGGCTCCGGGTGAAAAAATTTTTTTTTTAATTTCTGCATTTCTGGGGCAAGTGAGGGTCTCAGTGGCATTAGGCGGGCCAGAAAATACAGAATCAGCTTTTACTCGGCGGAAAAATTCGATTTTGGCAAAAGTCGACTTTCCCACCGAAAAAAGCCTAAATGTGGCATTTTGACTCCGGGTGAAAAAAATTTTTTTTTTATTTCTGCATTTCTGGGGCAAGTGAGGGTCTCAGTGGCATTAGGCGGGCCAGAAAATACAGAATCAACTTTCACTCGGCGGAAAAATTCGATTTTGGC